AATTTCATTGCTTGTTATTAGGTTGTTTATTGCTTGTTATTTTTGTGTCTTTTAAATTAGCTTTTATAATTTGCAAGACCCTAGGAATTTGTCCATTTCTTCAAAATTTTCCAGTTTATTGGGATACAATTTTTCATAGTAGTTACTGGCTTCTGGATTTTGGTGGTGTCATAGCCATTACATCGTTTTTGTTTCTAATTCCATTGATGTGAGTCTTTTCTTTCTCTTGCTAAATTTGTCTAAAGGTTTACTTATTATTCTTTGGAAAACCAGCTCTTCAATTCATTGATCTTTATATTGTTTTTTCAACCTCGACTTCAATGATTTCCGCTCTGCTCTTCCCGACTTCCCTTCTCACTTTTGCTTTTCAAGTATCTTAAAAGTTCTTCAAAAGTTTATTTATTCCAGCTTGCTCTGCTTCTAATGAAAGCACACCTGCTTCACTTCTGGATGCTCAAGTGTTATTAGAGAACTGCTAGAAAATTCCCAAAACGCATCGCTCCTGATTTCCTGGATTTGCCCTGCTCCCCCCTTTCCAACTTCAAACCGTTCTTCCATCCTTGTCATCTAAAGATTATTGACAGTGGCTCCCTAATTCAATCTGCAAATTACTCCAGGATGCAGTGCTACCGGCAAGCAGTGTGATTCGAGCCTGTCCTTTGTGGAGGCTCCTGACTCTGCTGGGAAATGCTCCTCTTTTCACGTCGCTTGCATTAGCGTTTCGGTGCTAGATCGCACCCGTAAGAGGAAAGGGAGGGAAAGGAGGGCCTGAGCAGAATTTTGCTTTCATGGCCCATTTCTTCTATCAATTCCTCTTCTGAAACACAAGTATGAAGTAAAACAATAACCAAAAAAGCAATCTCGCCTCTCTCCACACCCCGGCGAGGCTCCGGCCCTCGCGGGTCGCGCTGGTCTTGCGTGCACGCGCAGCGGTCGCGCACCGGTGGGGCCTACGCCTCGGCGCTCGCTCTGCGCCCCCGACACCAGCGCAGCCCAACAGCCCAGAGTGGCTTGTGGAGCCTCGGTCCTGAGTCTATTCTGTATTCTAGGGTTATTTCTCCTCCCTTTGCCATTATTCCTGTCTCTCCTAAAGTCTATTCCTTTTTAGAATCTGTATCTATGTAGAGCATCTCTCTACTTTTAAAGCTATTTAAGAGAAAACATCTATAACTAGCTTGTTTTGCCTTCCTCCACTCCTACTAATAATAACATTATTGTGTAACTTCCTTCCAAACTTGCACATTACTTCCACATCCTAAAATGATCCTTCCTTTATTATATTCAAGATGAGGTCCAGTGTAGGAGTTTCCGTTATTGCTTCATGCTTTCTCAGGGAAACCATCTGGCAAGAAAGTTTCAACAGCCCAACGTTTAGAGAAATGAAACGGGAGCACTGGCTCACAGCTCCGTGGACATCCCAGCTTTGTTTTAACTTTACATGAAGCAGGAAGCACCCACCAGCAGCACCTGGGCAGCCAAGGACGGGAACTGCACAGCACTGCTCCCTTTCCTTCCCCACCTGCTGCCCAGTGTCGTCCCGCGCCCTTCCCCACCTGCTGCCCACGTCGTCCCGCGCCCTTCCCCACCTGCTGCCCACGTCGTCCCGCGCCCTTCCCCACCTGCTGCCCATGTCGTCCCACGCCCTTCTCCACCTGCTGCCCAGCGTCCTCCCGT